CGGCCCGTTGCCCGCCGGCCCGCGCGGAGCTGAGCGCGGGGGCCGCGCCGTGTCCGGCCGCGGTCCTCACGGGATCCCTCGTGTGCCGGGCTCGCGGGGCGCGGGGGCCGCACGCTGTGGCTCAGCTGCTGTCCACGGCGATAGGGAGCGGATCGCGCTGCTTGCTCCATTGCCCCCATCTTGCAGAAGAGGCAGGGGGTTCTCTTTGGGAAATAATTGGGACGTCACCCAGGGAAGTTCCTCTGTGCGGAGGCTGCAGAGCCCGTCGCCCTTGGCGGTGCTTTCCCGTGGGGTTCGTCCCTGGCCGTTCCCAGAGCGCGGCTGCACGGCCTCTGCCCGCTTCCCATTTCTCAGGCGGACGGTCGTCCTGGAGAAGCCCTTCCCGCTATTAGCACATGGGGCAACAGCTCTTTGAGGGACTTCTTATTTTGGGGGAGTTTTGTTTGTTTCTAGGAATTTATCTGGAAGCTACCCCTTAAAAGGTATCAAAGTGGAAGGAAGTGCTCAGCAAACTCCAGACATATTTCATGTTTCTCACCTCTGCCAGGACACATTCCTTTAATAAGACAAGCATAAGCCTGGAGGGCAGGACCGAGCCTTTTCCCCCAGATCTTCAAGTAGCAACAAGGACTCCTTTTAACTAAGGAAGGAATGCGGGGAGCCAGGAGCTGTGCACAGTGTGATTGATGGCACTCTTTTCTGTATTTAAAGGCAGTCCAGGACTACCAACAGCAGTTAATATAACTTGGTCTTCAATCAATTTTAAAACAATACTACGGTGGCAACCTAAACCATCTGATTATTTCTACACGGTAGAAATACTTGGGTAAGTAGATAACACTGAAGGTGTGTATACTAGTAACAGTTGAAGAAGATAAAGCATGCGTGAACATATTTGAGACTGAGAAAAATTTGAGACAGGAAAACAGCCCCAAAAGGAGGATGTTAGGAAAATTGCATACTCTATAGTTGTATCTTCTTCATGCCCAACTGTAGGAATATCTGATCGGAGAGTCTGGTTTCTTCCACTTCAGAAATGAGTAGTTCAGCTTTAGATCAGTGTTTCAGTCTGGGGGTCTGTGCAGGCCTGGAGCCCTGGGAAGCAGCTGCCTCTCAGACCACGCAAAACGGCACCTTTTTGTCTTTCAAGGTGTCTGGACCGAGTCTTTGTTCTTTCTCTAATCTTGGGAGGTGTCTGATAATGAGTCTGAATGTCACACTAACCAGTGAATCACCACCAGTGAAATGCTGGGTAATACTAAAAATGACCTTGTTAGTCTAGCTCTATCAAAGTATTGCATGGCACGTTTAGAGAGATTGTGAAATACTGTCCACCATGGAAAACAGCCAGTCTATATGATGTGTCTAACATTTATTTTAAAACGTTGGTAAAGTTCAATAAGAAATCTGCGTGGTACTTAGCCCTCCTATTAAAACACAGACAATTCTTAAACATGCCCCAAGGGCAAACTGCATCAACTCTCCTGCAGAGTCATGGATACATAGTACTGTAGGCACTTCTGTATATAAAAGTTGTCTGGAAATGAGAGTTCTCTCATGACTAATAAATTACATACCTGTGTAATGGTCCAGTGTCCTCATTTATTCTTTAAAAGGAAAAGAGTGATTAAATGAATAGACTTTAAAGCTTATGCTTGATCAGAAGGCACAGCATATCTTAAGAGCTTGATCTTGCAAAATGGTTTCTTACAGACCCTTATCTTGGGAGTCTGCCAGCTGAACTGGTTTTGCTTGCAAGCAAAAAAAAAGTCTACCCAAATTCAGTACAGATTCACATATTGTTCTGATAGCAAGGAATTTCTTTAGGATTGCCTTCAATACATTTCAGTTTTTGGTTTCTGATCCATATGTACATTTGAAAGAATGTTCTTTTTTTGTTACAAACATCAAATCTCTTCTGTCTTTTCTCAAAGCATCTGCAGGCCATTGAAACTCGAAGATTTGTGGCATTATAAAAAATCTGGTGGGAAGGGAGTTCAGGCAACTTCTAAATAAAACTCTCCTGCTTGCCAGATTGTAAGATACTCTGAGGAAAACTTGTTTGTGAACTTCCAAACACTCAACACTTATCTTCTGAGTTCACTAACTCTTTTTTTGTTTTTAGTTCACTGGCAAAGACAGAAAAGAGAATTGAATTAATAATGCCAAATATACTTTTCTGTTTCCACTTCTTAGGAAACAATTATTGGCAATTATAGTCATATATTTTAAGAAGTACCATTTTAACCTACATAAATAGTTTCAAAAATCTGATTAGAAAGCATTGACAGTTCCTATTCTTTTCAGACAGACATCCAACACCCAAAGAAAATGCATTCAGACAACAGAAACAGAGTGTGATGTTACTGATGTGCTGAGGAATGTAAGAGAGACCTATACAGCACATATACTGTCTGTAACGTCCTCCAGGATGGATAACTTTGAACAGCCACCTTATGCAGTCTCTGAAAATTTCACACCTTATAATCAGAGTAAGTAGAATGTCAATTCAATCTTACTGTAAACTTAATCGCAGGATTTCCACTGACTTAAATAAACTTTGGGTTGGACGGAAAGATTTTTTTCTGTAGGTTCTTATAGCAGCACTTTTACTATCTGGGAGTAAGATCTTCAGGTATGATGCTTTTCCCATGGCAGGGAACTGCGCAAGATCTTACTTAGCACTTGTCTCTCACAAATTAGCACTGTATTCTAGATTGTACAGCATGCATCTTAGCACAGTATAGTAGATAAAAATATTTGCTTGTAATCTTGGATTCCCCTACACCACTTTGACTCTGCAAAATTTATAATAGAGGAAGGAAGAAGAGTAGAGGGAACTCTATATTGTATAGAAAAGATGATGCCATTTTTTTTTAATTCTTAAACTTTCTTGTTTAGCTATTCTTGGAAAACCTGAGATCCAGAATTACACACAAAAAGATTCCAAAATGAGTATTGTGTTCAAAGATCCACTTACACCATATATGTTTCCCAATGGAAGTTTTCAAAGTGTTCGAGATATTTTCAAAAATGACTTGGAATATAAACTCTATTATTGGAAAGACCAAAGTTCTGGAAAGGTAAGGTCTCACTCAACATTTCACATATTCTGTAGCTATGCCATAACCATTTTGGTGCTTCCGTAAGAGGTAAAGCTCTTGCAGAGAACACCTTCTTGAAGTGTATGTTTCTCTTCTTACAGAAAGATGCTACAACAAAAAGCAATAAATTTGAAATAAATGTCGAAAGCACAAAGAACTATTGCTTCTACATACAGGGAATCATTCCCTCTCGCAGTAAAAGCCGTACTGGTCAAGAAAGCATGGTGCTTTGTACCAGCGTTGGAAGAAATATTTTAGACGGTATGTATCTGACGGAGTTTGTCACAATATCTTCAGCATTTTTAACACCTCAGTTATGAGTATATTTTTATAGATCTTCTAAGTATGCTGGCTAAGTTAAAAATCAATCTTTTTGCTATTTAAATGACAGGATATAAACTAGAAAAGGAAACTCATGGGAAGAACTCCCATTAAGTGTCACTAGTTTTAACTAATTGGAGTTGTTTTTAAGGTTTTGTTAAAACTGTTTTGATTTAGTTTTAAATTGGCAGTTAATGTTGGATCCCTGAGGTTACAGACTTAATCACTAGCCTCCAGCTTCTCTTGTTTTCACATTTTCTTTAGATCCATCCAATAAAGGATCCTAGGGTACATGGTTGAATCACCAGCTGTAAAATACCAGAATGCTGGATAACTATCCAACAGGCATTTCCAGTGACTTATAGTTTAAGCTGAACTATGGAAACTCATTTTTTTCCCATCTGCTTTAGTTATTATCTGAAAAGCAGCTAAGGAAACTTATGCATTCTTCATTGTTACATTGCAATATTACATGCATTACGTGTACTACGTGTATCACAATACATTGCAAGCTTAGAGATTAGCACCTCTGCTTCTTTACTAGCAAACAAGTTAAGTGGGCAGTCAGTGAACCAGCCATCCAACTCCAGACAAACAACCTGGATAACATTTTGTTCACTATTAAGTCAAAAAACTTCATTAGAATATTTTTTCTGTACCCATACCTTCTTTCTTATCAGGCAAAACTTTTTCCACTCAAAGTGAAAACTTCCAAAATTGTTTCTCCTTCTCTCAAATGAATATTCTTACCAAAATAGATATTTTTGTTTATTACCATAGTTGAATTCTGTTAAACTATGATTTGAATAAAAACTTCTTTGGTTGGTCTTTTCCAGCTTCTAACCTAGAACAAATTTCTACTTGAACCTAATTTCACAGATACTGTGTGGTAGCAGGAGGATGCTTTGGACTTACTGCTGTGGCAATAGCATAGTATTGTAGTTAGTATAGACTAACTATACTAGTAGTTAGTATAGACTAACTATACTAGAATAAAACCTGGTGTGAAGTGGTTGAAATCAACCTTTAATAGAGTTTAACAAATTCACGGTAAAATGAGTTATGTTCCCACTGAGGTGATGGCTCCTGTCGTACTGCGAAACACAGCAAGCCTTTCTGAGGTCAGGAGGCTCTCTGTGAGGGCTGGAGGCTCTAAAGGAGGGGTATTTGGCCCCTTTGGGGCACCGCTAGAGGACCCAGTGAAACTGTAAAGAAAAACTGCTCTGTTGTCTGATTCCTGAGTCTTGGATTCTTTTCCTCCCCTACAGAATACGGAACCGAAGTCTTCATTATCCTAGCGGCGGTGGCCGTTGCCGTCCTCGCTCTCGCCATTGCCCTGCCAGTGATCCTGTGTAAACGCAAGAGAGCAAAACTGGCCAGAGAAAAGCAACCGCTTAATGGGCCTTAGTGGATAACAACACTGGAGATTGTGGCAGTTCCAGTGTGGGAAAAGAAAAAAAGAGGAACCTTTTAAAGTCTCTGCTGCAGGACATTGTGAAGCCAAAATTTCCACTATTTCTGTGGATTCAAAACTTCTGAGACAGTCACAGATGAAAAATATATTATAGGCACAAAGATATCAGGAAGCCCCTGTGACACTAATAACTGGAAGCTGGAAGAGTATTCTGGGAAGATGTTATAATGTGCTTGCCCTGTTGAAATACTCTTCCCAAAGCAGCCTCTATTTGACAGAGGATCCTGAAAGGACCTTTGATTTGACCAGGTATGGCCATTCTGAAAGCATGGCCGTAATGAGCCAGAAAACTTCAGGTACTTGTAAGGGAAAAAACACTATATTTTTTCTAAACACTTTTGTCCTTTACCTAATGCAAAGGACATTTTCTGTTTTTGTTTCTATGAAACAAAACCTTTATTTATCTGCCTTTTTTATAACATTATTAACTGGAGACATTATCTGTTAGTTCAGATCTGAAAAAGTTACTACTATTCTGCACTGCTTGGATAAAAAAAGCTTGGTCTATTTATCTTTGGATATAGGAAATCAAAAGTGAACAAACTGAAATCACTGTACTACTAACTTCTGTGAAACACTCCTGAAGTAGGTGCTGCTCTTCATCTGGAAAAGACATATCCACATTACACTAAACCTAGAATCACACTACTAGGGTAATCTGGTAAGTCCAGGTTAGTGTCAGGATATAAACTTTGCAGTTTTTGAGTCAGTGATAACTCACTTCATGCAAACACTGAGTAGGTAGCAGTATTTACTGCACATTGAACACTGATTTTTTTAATTAAATGGTTGGTGAATCAATAGTTTGTTTTGCTATAGCTTGAGACAGTTTTGGTGATGGGATTTAAAGGTACTTTTTACTATGACTTTTAATATTTATTTTATAATATATTCTAATTTTTATACTGGTGATATCTGTATTTATGACAATAATTTATACTAGTGAAATAAAGGTGACTGGGAAATAACTTTCTCATTTATTTATTTATGAAGAACCCTACTAATTCCTGAAGTGGAATTAAAAATATATTAATATATTTAATATATTAATAATGTTAATAAATATATATATACTCTGGTGACAGTAGTGTAGTCTATGTAGACTACGAGGGCAATAACTATCTGTAAGAATAAAAATGCAAGAAAACCCTGAATACAGAAGCGATAAAAGATTTTGAGGAGTCCCGAGTTGCTGCTCAGCTGCCCGTTCCTCTGAGCGCTTACTCAGCCCTTGGTGCAGTTTCTTACGCTAATAGAAAGTCTCGGAGACCTGCTGAGATGTCTCTCTCAGGGCAGGGAGTCCCAGACTGGTGCTCTAGGTCTTGGTGATACTCAAGGGTCTTGCTGAGGGAGGAACTGCTTCATCTAATGCTGGTAGCTGTTGCTCCTACTGCTATCCATGGGCCCCCGAAAAATCCCGTAACTCTAGAGAAAAGAAAAATGCATCTTTTAATTGACACTAGCTGGATGTCTATCTCAAAGACTTATGTATGTCCTACAATAGAATGACATTTGTGTTCATGAAAAGAAATAACATGATGTAAAATGATTATCCCAACCTATAGATTTTACAACATTTTATATTTTTCATCCTTATACAATAATTCTTTGCATAGGACAAGAACACTGTAGAAGTCAAAGGGGTTTGTGAGTTTTGTTTAACTCTGATTTCACAGAAAGAGAGGTGTAACCTGCAGAAAACCCTGCATTTTAGTTAATGCTATGCATTTAGCTGCATGTGTAAGCCTTGCAGAGCCAGGGAGCCTCCTCACAGCACTTAAAGCAGGAGAGACTGGAAGGAAAGTCAAAGGCAGTGTACAGGGGCACTCACGCCTCCCTCGCCCCTGCTGTTCTGCTTCCTCCTGTCAGTCCCTGCAAAGCTCCGAGAAGCAGGGGCCTGCGGAGGGTGGCACAGGTCTCATTAAACAGGACGCTGTAGTTGATATCGTCACCACCTACAGAGAAGAGGGACATAAATCATGCATCAGGCAGGTCAGAGCGAAGGTTTTTTTGTTTTGTATTTTAATTAAAGAGAATCAGAGAAGCAAACTACCTTAAATGGCGTAAAAATGACCCATTGCAGCAAAAGTTCTGGAAGAACAGCAGCACTTCTGTTCCCTCGGTACACAGCACTGCCACGTCAGCATTTTTGACACCGTAGAGTTACCGGGTCCTATTTCAGAAAGGGTTTGTGCTGTTTGTGAAGAGAGTTGAGAATAGGGTTGTTTTTTCCCGCTCAAAGTTTCTGGAAATATTATCCTTTGGGCTCATGCATACAGCCCAAGCAAAATATTTCACGCACTTTTACTTTCTCAACGTATGAGGGAAATGTTGGATAAAAATCTTTTGGGGGGAAGAAATACTGAGTCCTACATGCAACATACACATGGCCAGCTTCAGCCCTGGGCTGCTTTAGAAGGAGCAGATGCCCAGGGAATTGGTCTCTTTGCACTCGTCTGGGAGAAACAGATACTTCTCCATTACAGTACCTGGGCTTGCTCCTGATAAAGGGCATGGGCACCCCTGCCTACTGTAATAAGCCACTATCCGTTTTACAATGTTGCTTTCATACAACATTCTCCTCCTCCATGTAAGTGAATAAAGGTTGATAATGCAATGCTACATTTCTGCCAGTCTAACAGGACTCATTAAAATGAACATTGTACCATACTTTACAATGAAGTACAAATGAGAGGAACGGCAGCAAACCGCTTGGCCCATGCATTTGCAGTACAGCAGACTCAGCTTTCCCCTGGCCGCTGCTCAGGGGCACGTAATGAGAGGAATGTGATTATAGGCTTAACTTTGATCCCGCTTCATGGGACAGCTCAGGACAATGCGTTTCTGCACTAAGTGCAAAGCGGCAGCAGTGAAAGGTAACTTCTTGGCTTGGTTTTGTAGTGTTGATTATTTTTCAACCTCATACTGAGTGCTACACAACTCAAACCGTGCTACATGCAGCAATAATAGACCCTGGCCTAACAAGTAAGATGCTGCTTACAAACTAAAATATCTAAAGATGACTAAAACATCTGATATCAGAGTTCCAATGAAATACAAGCTATGCTAGGAACTATGATAAAATGCTGCTTCTCCAGCAACTAGGAAAGAGAGACATAAATAGGAACAGATTATCTTGAGTGCAACTATACTAGAGTTTGTAGGGGTGGCTATTTTGGGCTTTATGTACTTTGAGTTCTGAACTGGTCTAATAAAAAGTAACCAAAATAATCTCTCCTACATTGAAGAAAAAGGTGGTAACAGGAAACAGATCTCAAAGGACTGTCTCAGCATTGCTTCATGGGCATCACTACAATATTATAGATCATAGAACTGCCTCCAAAATATACAGTGTATGCAGGAATTACTACTGCCTATCAGACCTGTCTGTGTCTGTTCTTGTGTACCAGCATGACGTACCCAATGCCTCAGGAAAGGGGGAATCTTACTGAGAAAATACTGCGTTTTGTGTAAATCTTTAAGCAGTAAGTTTAAACAATCTTCCCCAAATCCTCTACTTAGGACTATTATAAATACAAGTACCTCATACAAAAAAAATCTGGTCTGAATTTTTTTTTTAATTGTTGAGATGGTATTTGTGGATTTAAAAAAGGTTTTCAAACCCATGGATTTGGACTTCGGCCTCAATTCCCTTCTTTGTGCTATAAAAAGTTGCTAATAGTCTCTGGTTTCCCAGAGAAGTTCATAAGAATCTTTTTATGTAGGTTTACAAGGCAGGTGACTTCACTCTTATCCGCACAATCTGCGGACAAGGAACAATGTGAGTCCTGGCCATAACACGGGCCAATCTTCCTCAAAATTAGGCAGATTAGGTAGTTGTATTTTTGCATGCGTTTCTTCAACATGTTTTTTGTAAGAAAACTATATCCTTGTTACGCAGTGAAGCAAGCCTTGAATTTGAGAGGTAAGGCAACAGAAGTTCACCACACTCTGGCAGAAGACACCCTCACGTCCCACCCTTAACCTTCTTCAAGAAAGTTCCATTTTTGCTGAGAGCAGACAGCTGCCTGGAGCTTTGCATAATCTTTCAGAGGTACTGGACCATGGCCTCAGAAAAGGTTTCAGCTATAAAGATTGTTTCTTGGACATGCATTTAAATCTGTTGTTCAGTAATTTAAGTGTTACTGTTCTATAAACTGTTAACATAAGGAATAACTAAAGTGTTTGGGCTAGCAAACAAAGGAAACTAGACAGCAGAAAGCCAAGACTTGTACAATTAACAAACTTTAAGTTGCTCTACGTATTAAATATCACATCCACAATAAAAAAATTCCCAGGGGGAACCAGCGTGGATTTCTTTTATTCATGAAAGCTTGTAACATAAGCCAAACCTACAGAGAGAAAAGACTTCTCAAAAGATTAAACAGATGTTAATCCTGCTGTTCAAATGGAATCAATACATGCAAGAGTTATGCAAGCACTGAGGCAATCATTTTACAATCCTTATTTACACTATTTCCTGCTAACAACAGGTTCAACAATCCTCCTAATTGTCTCTGAAACTAGTGTAGGACTGGCTTAACTGCTGACCTCTGAGGAAAAAAGCAGTTGTCATTTAATGTGTTTCTGGCCCTTTTAACACTCCTGTTAATCTCCCTGGCTGGCTTCAGCAGTGGTTATGATCTTCTACTCCTCACACCGCAGGCTGACCTTTCTTCAATAGCAGGAAGTGTAGATCAGGTCACCAGCGATTTACTTCCTTAATATACCTTGTTTTCCTCAGGCAAAGAACTAAGCCAGAGCAAGGATCTGCAGTGAAATACGAAGGTATGTTAGAGGGGGAAAAATGTTATAATAAAAAAGAATTATGTTAGAACTATTACTAGTATTACTAGTTATTTATCCGTGGTTGTGGCATTTTTCCTCTAAGTTGCACCAACTGCAATTATTAAACTGCATCTTTGTAGAAAATTCTTCAACCTAAGAGGGCTTTATTTTTAATTCTAAGAAAACTACATAATATACTTGTTGCATACCTAACGCCACTTAAGAAATTAGTATTAAGATGAGAAAGCGCTGATTCCAAGGGTAGACTTTTAAAACACTTCACTCAAGTAAAGTGTGGTGAACCCTACGTTACTGAGTTCCAAGTACTTTGATGGTGAGTACATCTACCGCAGGAATGGATGGTAAACAGAAGAAATCGAAAAAGGAAAATGACTCAGTCACAAATACGTCAAATATTCAGTCTCCAGTTACATTTTTCTAAAGTACAACAATCAGGCAGCATTGAAAATTACCATACAAATACAAATATTATAACCTTACTCAGGTTATAGCTGGCACCTTTCCAAAATCAGTAAAACTGATATGAAAAAAATGAACAGGGCATAATGGAGAAGGAGAAATCACAATTGGTTCTCATTTCAAATAGATTAAGGCACCTATAATCTGATTGCTCTAGGTACATATCTACAAGCATTTACCTCAGCTTTCTGCTAGATGAAACTGACTGATCATAGCACGAACTTCAGGCAATAACCCTGACTTTAGAAGCTGAATGCAAGTCAGCAGGTTCATTAAATGACTTGAGATTTGTTGAAAATGCATTCACTGTACCGTTACAAAATTCCTAATCACATCATCAATAAATATAAAAAGTCTAGAAATATTTTTCTTCAGATTTATTATTTCAGAGGCACTTAATGTCTTACATTTATATAGCGCCATTTCCCCCTCCAAAGCACTTTACAGTATTTACATACAGGAATGTTTCCCACCACTGTTGAAATGCAGCCATCTGACTACTACCAACACATTTTTTCAAAGCACCAGCAGTTAGAGACTGAAGACACTTATCAGTACTTTGTCTTAGGATGGATTAAAATTCTATTTCCAAATGTAACTTGTGCTATTTAAAAAGACCTAACAGCTAAAATATAGTATCACAGTGCAACTCTGCAACACAACTGAGACACAACTGATCATTTTCATTAGGTTTTACATTCCTTCATTAGACAATGTCCATCTTTCAATAGTTAAATGTAAGGCCTTTTAAGAACACCATTCTAAAACATGACTCATTTTCTTTACAAGCCTCTTTTATAATCAAGCTTTGAAGAATATTCTTCCTTCCTCCCAGCAAATTTGGAAACATGAAACTTTTAGGAATCAAGTTCCTGGCCCTAAGAATGTATTAGTAACCTCAATTTTCATGAGCTTCACGACATGTATAAAGACAAACCTATTCCTCCTTGGTTATGGAACTGGATATATTTTACTTTAAAATAACTCTAAGATTACATAAAATTCTGTCATTAACCAGTTTAAAATACCGTGGGACCACCTGCTATTGTGCTACAATGATGTGCTGTACGTGGTTCTGCTTGTTACTCTAAAAAATAAAAATATGTTAAGCTATCCCAAATCCTCAACTCCACTACAAACTTGCCCTACTCCAAGGAAAATAGTACTTTCTCATTTCAATCTTTTTTTTTTTTTAAGCTTTTCTTTCTAAAAGGCTATTAAAACATTCCTTTAAGAAAAAGCAGCTGTATTTGTGCTGACACCTTTCACAAGAACAGCTGTCTGGCAGCCATATTTTCAAGGTTACAATGAAAAGAAAACTACAACCTCACCTGTTACAGATTAAAATTAGGCTGATATGAGAATTTGTACAGACAAAAAGATTAGTAAAATAAAACAGCTATTTGCCTTCCTGTGAATCAAGCACAAAAATTTATTTAGTGTCTTATTCTCACAAAGATGCTAGAGAGGACAGAGGCATTTTTCTCCTCCACTGTCCATGTACTGTGGCCACCATGGATTCTTAAACAACTGTTGGCATTTGAGTAATATGAAAGAAGATCACTAGTGATAGGTATGAGCAAGAATTATGATAAACAAAAAACATGAACAGGTAGTAACCTTAATGTAACTAAACAAGCTAAATATTAATGGGCAGCAGTGAATCCAAGTACAAAAAGATTTTTTAAATCTTAACTCTTGATAAAAGATGCACAGAGCACATATATTGCATATTTTATGCATGCCTTCATGTAGTGCATTCCTATGTTGAATCTTATGTAGAACACTCAATGAGTACTAGACCTTCACTGTACAACAGATTTTTTCTTTAGAGCCCAAACAGTTTAGTTTGATATATCTCCTCATAATCTCATACTGAGATAGTTTTGTTGTATTTGTGCTTTTCAATGTGATATTGTAGCCATAATAATCTTTTATATGAAAAATTGGTTACAGTAAACTATTTTAAGTTTTGCTGTATTAATGAGATTTGGCATCTGGAGTAAGAAAACCAACAGGTTTTTCTATAGGAAATGGGCAATCACTGGTCAATGCCTGGTATAAGAAATCCAGAATCCTTCGGACAGAAATAAGGATAAAATGCATCATTTTGGGCTTGCAAAGGAGTAAAAACAAAGCACCATCACCACTTACTTTCAAACTCAGATTTGGACAGCAGCTAAAACTGCTAATGAATAAAAGCAGCAACTAATGAGAGGGAGAAATTAAGTAACTTTGAAAAAAGCAACTGCTGCGAGTATCAGTCTGCTATTTAACAGACCTACATCATTTTCCAAAGACAGACAATTTCAGCATGTATTTCTGAGTTCATTCTAACTCCTACCACCTTCAAGATAATGAGTGATCCAGTGCTCCTTCCTCCACTATTACTTGAGAGCGCCATTCATTTCTTCAGAGTTGAAAACACGAACAACCTCCAGTAAAAAATATTCAAAGATCCATATTGGTGCACACAACAACGCAACTTCACTATTTTTTCCCCCCCTCCTTCTCTCCCCCACCTTCCCTGCCAACTGTTTCCTCCCTCAACCAACTCTCAACTCTTCATTATCACAGTATTCTTCTGAGAGGAGATGGTTGAGATGGCAGAAGGAGAAAGCTCTTTCTAAGCTGGGAAAGAAAGAGGTGAACAGCAGACAATCCTATACACAGACAAAAGCTAAAGAGAACTTAAACAAAATCCACCAGGGAACAAGCTTAGTTTTTTATCCGAGGGAATTAGTCTCATCTTTCACGTTCAGTTCATTCTTTACCAACAAGGGCATATTGGCTACAAGGGTTGGTGAAGGAAAAGGCTCTTTCATCAAGCTAGTAGGGCACAGATCTGAAGATGGGAGACTGTCCTGCACCATGTAAGATAACTCAGAAATATGCATAGAACAGAGCAAGAATCCAAGCCTGGTTTGCAGGAGTAACAGAGGTAGCAACCCTAACTTTAACAGGGCTTTTCATGGAAGGGAAGGAAGGTCTACAAAAGTCAAATCAGCTGATTTCAAATGGTTTGCATCCCAAGATGAATCAGGTTACACCGATTTAAGCCCAATTTAATTTAGGCAGGTTTTTAAACCACAAGAATAAGGACATTCTTAGTACATATTAATAATTAAACCAACATATACACAATTAGCAATATCCTACACAATAGTAAATGCTTAGCAGCTTGTTTTGGGTTATCCTAGTTAATTTGTTTAAAAAACAAGCTGAATAGTTTTATTGTACAATATCTGCCATTCCACATATTTCCTGTAATTAACAGTCTCTATAGCAGTGCAGTTGATGAATTTTAGGATCCAAATTCAACTGTGTCTTCAGTTATCTTCTTAAACTCATAGTTTCCTCTACCATCCATGTGCAAGTAGAACTGCAAAGTGAGAACACATACATATTATCAACTTCCCCTGAAAAATGACTAACACTACAAATAACAAATAAATTACATTTTCAAGTAGTCTTAGTGCAAAAGATCTTAAACTCAGCAGAGGCCAAAACACAGTCTTTTCCTACCACATTTCAGTAAGCCCAGTTACCTCTGAACGAGGAAAAAAAAGCTATACTGTTTTTGTTCACATCATTCAGTTGGCTGATGGTTATATCTAAACTTAACACTGATAACTTTTTTGTTAAGAGAGTATAATTTAGGTACGAGTCCACTCCTGTGTATTAATCCTTTTCTGATTGGTTTTTGTTTTCTCACACAAAGAGTAGATAACCAAAACATTATCTAATGAGCTAAAAACATTTTCTTGTTTTGAAGCTACATTTACAGATGCATTTTAAGATTGCAGTTTCTTCAGCTTTCCTAACCAGAAGTGTATGAACTTTTCAGTTACTGCACTGGACTGTGAAAGTAAAGCCTTTTTAAATGACAGAACACGATCTATTGGAGTAAGAAGTACACTGAATTATATAGCTATTTTAACGGAAAGCCAAACAACAAAACTTCTAACTAAGCTACAGATACAGATAGCCAAAGCAAAGGCTACATACATCATGATGTTTCCAGAGAGACTTTCTGTGGGAGACAGTGAAGAGAGTGATGCCAACCTATGAGAAGAAAATACATAATAAATAATTTCACTTATCACTAGGGGTTAACTGCTTTACTTTTCATCTTGACAGTAGCTAAAAAGGTGAAGTTCATAAACACAAACTTCAAGACTATTAACATGTAGTCTCAACACAAAACCTGACAAAAAAAGGTGGGTACTATGCAAGATCAAGCTCTGTAGGCACTAATAAAAAAAAGAAAAAAACCTATATGCTGAAGTGATAAAAGTCTACGAGCATCCATTACATAGAACTATCATTCAAAGACAATAATTGCTATTTTTAACAGTTATTTCCACAGTTCAGTCTTTTTATACTATATGTTGCATATCTCAGAGCAGTAAAAATGTACCAGTTCTTCCTTATGTTATTTAACAGGAAATAACAACAACAAAACCAGGATGCTTACCTTACGGCAATGGCTGTAAATGTAGCCTTCTACATCCACGCTAACAGCACTAGTGCACTCATCCAGAATTGCAAACTGGGGTTTATGATAAAATAACCTTGCCATCTGCAAGGCAAAACAAAAATCTACTGTGCATACAGAATCACAACCAATATTGCAAGATTAGAACTTAAGCCAAGAACTAATATCCAGAAGTTTACTGTAGCATTTTTTTTTAATTGATATTCACTGAAGCCTGAAAACTTGAGCGCCAAATATCATCTCTGCAGATTTCTGAGAAGCATTTCACAAATTCTGTTTGTATAATCAAGAGTATGAGCAGTGATAACTGCTTGATGTTTCTTATTAAAATAGGAGTACAGATAGGCATTTTTTGTAGGTAGCTCTCAGTGATCAGGTATTTAGGGGTTTTGGTTTTGTTCTTTAAGTAATATTGTTTTACTTAATATTTTATAATGTTTTAAAATACTATGAAAAATTAACAAAAATGCTTAGAATTCTGATCTCATTGTCAACACATTTCCAGTCCTTGGTAAATATTTATGTTTTTGAGACATACTGCCATCCTCTGTTTCTCTCCCCCGCTGAGAACATCCATCCAGTCCTGAACACTGTCCCAGCCTCCTTCGCGTTCCAAGATTTGACCCAGCTGGACATTATCCAAATACTCCTTCAGCACCTTTTATTGAAACAGTAATGACAAGTAAAGCTTAAGAGAATTTTAAACAAGTAGTAATTTTAAATAGCTATATTACACTATTATGAAGCTATACTATCAGCTATATTACTCATGCTAAAAACAAAGTCTGTGTAATATTTCAATAGAGACTTAAGTGTTCTTAAGATGACATTTAAGTGAGACAAGTATGGGCTACAAAACTAATTAATGTTACCTGGTCAGAAATCCCTTTCTTTCGCTGATCTTCTAAAGTATCTGGATATATGACTTGATCTCTGAGTGTTCCAAGAGTCATATATGGTCTCTGTGGAAAAGTCACAAGTAAGGTACGTCAAATATTCATACATGGAGTAACAAATTAAGGAGCAAAAAACCAAAAAGCTACTGTCACTACAGTACTTGGCCTTACCTGAGGAACATAAAATAACTTTCCTCTTACAGGCTTAGTCAGACGTCCACCAAATAAAGGCCACAACTGCAAGAAGAAAATGTTTAAACTTGAGAAAAATAAGTCCAACTAGAATAGTATTTTGAATAGTCCTACCTGTAATTTGAAATTGCTCCCTTACCTCACCAAGGACACGAAAAAGTGAGCTTTTCCCACACCCATTCGGCCCACAAATCAGAACATTTGCACCAGATCGAACCTAAGAATGAAACCCAACACATTTAAATGATAACAAGAAAGCATTGATGAAAAACTGTATGAATAATGAGATATGCTATTGTCCTCAGAGGCTCGTACATACGCAGTTTGACATTACACTAATTTCCACCATTACTTCCCGCCCCCATCCAGTTTAGCATCAACTGCAGTTTCAACAACACAGACTTTTAACAGTTAAAAAAAAATGGGAACAATGATTGATTACAGCTTTTTCAAACTATCACCACAATTAATTTTGTTCAAACATTAAGCATACTATATAAACATATCTAGTCTTCCATTTTATTATTAAATTACTGGCTTTTAACTTATTTCCAAGCAGGTCTGAAAATCTTCACTTTAGAATGTTTTATGAAGCAAAATATATTTTTCTGTGATATGTAAAGACCTCACCTCAAAATTAAGGTCTTGAATCAAAACATCTCCATTAGGTGTCACCAGTGGAACGTGATCAAACCTATTTGTAAAATGATATGGGAAAGGGGAAGGAAAAAAAAAAAAAAAAAAAAGCTTGAGCACCCACTGCAGCACTGGATATTTACTGAAAGACCCTAGGAACAGGGCAAGACTTAGCAATACCTTATTATCTTCTCCCCAATATATTCTCTCCTTCCCCCTTTCCACAGACACTTATCAATGCTATTTAATATCTTAATTTGCCTAATTTATTCCCATGCTTTACGAGTACTACATCAACACTATGTTTTTCAAATTTAAAAAAAAAAAAAAAAAAGGATTACTAAGTAAGTATATTAGTGATCAAATACTCGAAAGCATACAGAAATATAAGCAATTGCTTTCAAGTTGAATACAGATGTGCCACAGATTTTTACAGCCGAATAACAACAGGGAATAAAATTTGTTAACAACAGATTCCTAGGTGGAAATTTCCTAAGAGTGTTAACAAAAGCATCTGGAAAACAGTATGTCAAAGGAAAGCAGGAGATATTATTGAAAAGGCTGTGTTCACACAGATGATTATATAATGTCTTCAGCTAATGTTAAAGGAAAAGGATTGACTTACAGAATAGGAACACTAAGTGGAGGTAGGGAAATTTATAAGATACTGCACAGCATAAGAAACAAAAAAAAATGTAATGTGCATTAAAAGCTCTACTGACAGTGGTAAAGACCAAGAAAACTCCTAGTTTAATAACATTACAGCTGAAATAACTTTCCATACATACTTGATAAGGTTATCAGTGTTGATAATTTCTCCAGAGCCAGGAATCAGAGTCAAAGCTTGTGTCTTATCTGCATCTTAAATTAAGAAAAAAAAAAAGTATTAGAGCCTGGACTGACAGACAGAAACAAGTATTGCACATGAGTTGCCATATTTACCCTTTTCTTGTGATACCATAGTACGCTGATATTTGCCACTGTTCAAGTCCTTCAGAACTTGCATTAATTCTGTAATTCGAGCTGTGAAACTTAAAAAAAATAGCAATTATAGTTTTATAATTAATATAAGCTTTATAATTTTAGGATTTATAGTTTTCCGCACAAGCTCTGGCTTGAGATCAAAATCTCAAAACAATAAAGTTGCTCAGCAGATTTCACTAAGATCAGCCTAGCACAAAAACAGAATTACATGCATTTTAGAGTTGCACTGAGAATCTCCAACTTCAGCAATTTTTATAAGAACCTCTTCTCACAATAGCTAAATATTTACACCTTAGAGAACTTTTTTCTTAAAAAGTAAACTTTGCATACTTGTATACTCCTGCATTGTATACTGCTACTATTCAAACATGAAATTCCTAGAGCAGATATTAACATCACTTCAAATATAATATTTTTCGAATTAAAATGCTAACCTGCAGATTTTGAGTGCCTCAATGAACAGAGCACACAGTTTATTTTGTTTCAATTCTATTGTCTACTTTTTTTAAGAATGAGTAATGGTAGCTACATAGTTTAAGGCACACTATTTTACTGATCTATTATTAGATTTACCCAGCCAATCTTGTCATTTCACGTCCTGCTAGGACTATTCTGCCCAAAGCTTGAGACATTCTTAGCAGCATTCTTCCACTTTGGTAATAATCCTAAAGCAGGCAGAGAAAGAAAATCTGTTTATATATATATATATATATGTATATATATCTTCATATGAACAAAATTTGAATTCAGGAAGTGTTTTTTATTCCGTACTGCCTACCTCTAGAAGTTCTGCATGGGTACTATTTTGATGGCGAGGATCAGCCAAGTTCAAAAATGGACGACTAACAACCAGGTAACCAACCACAGTGGCAAGGTCTGCAGGTTTTAAAAAATTTTTAAAATGAAGCAATAAAAATAAAGTGAAAAGTACATAAAAATTCTAGCACTTAATGTGTTATCTGTAGAAGATCATTAGCACTGGGCAAACACTTACATTTGGCGATGATAGTATCAATGAATCCCATGGAGAACCGGAACAAGATGAAGTTATGCAAGTGTTCCACCTGAGAAGTTACAGAAATAGAAAAGTCCAACTATATGAGTACTTGTTGTACTCAGTTGCATTATGTTACAGAAACTGGACAGCAGGTACAGTTATTTGTTATTTGTTGTCAGCAAGTATAGTTATTTCTTTTTCGGTAAGCCGAAATACTTCAGCAGCTCCTGTCACCTACACATGATAAGCACTGCACAAGTGTCCCTGTGGGCACAGACTCCCTCTCCAGACCAAAAGATTTTACATTCAAAAGTAGTGAGGGAATAGTACTGGTGGTGGGTAAAAATAGAAAGCAGCAAAATACAGACCAAATTATCAGAAGCATGTGTTGTGCTAATAGCCTACAAATTTACTTAAATTTGTCAAAAAAATAGAGATTAGCACATGATAACTTTTTAAAGTCAGATATAGAAATGGATATGGAATCCTCTAGTATGACACTGCATCAGCATTTTCTCCTGACCAGAAAATTCATTCAAAGTTTATGTAATTAATTTCAACTATGGTAATTACTTTATCTGAAATTGAGCACCAATTCTCCCCTTCCCCTCCCACCAAAAAAAAAAAGTGAAACTGGCAATCAATTAGGCAAGTTTAAGACTGTCAACATATCAACAGTGGTTTTAAGAATAAACTTAACTGAAATTCTGAGTTAAATAAGCCTCTCTCTACTCCCAAACTTTCAAAAACTATGACAATATAAAACCAGAGAAAACACTGACAGAATATTAAGTGGAAAAAATAAAAAAAAAAAAGAAAAAAAACACACACACACACCCCTTTAGGAATTATCATGACAAAAGCTCATTACAGTTTTCCTTAAAATGCTTTAAAAGAAAGAAAACACACTCTTACCAGTTTACGGAAGGTTTTGTGAATAGTCTGTTTTTCCCTTAAGTTTCCATTATAGAAAGCAATTTCTTCACTTAAAAGAAAAAAAGAATACAACTTCGTTAAAATCTTTAAAGAAGTCAACTACAGAGCACAGGAACAGTAACTGTTCAGTTACTTTGTGAAATACGAAGAGTTTTTATTTTTTCACAATACTTAAATTTTGGTTTCTTACACCACATATTTATTTAATAGCAATCCCTATAAATGTATAGGCACTTTGCTTAAAAATAACTGTGTAAGTTTTATAAAATCCATCCTCTATTTATAGGCCACATTACCTGTATCTTACCATCCAAGTAATTCTATACCTGTTTGTAATAAGCCGCGAGTTGACGTATCTGTACTCTCCTTCATATTTTTGTTCAACAATAGTCATCTTGCCAATGGGTCTCCTTAAGCGTGTTAGGAAAAACCCTGAAACAATCAGGTATGCCATCATGCTAGCCGGACCCTGTTAATATTAAAACAAATAAATCACTATCTAGATAGTCTCCAACTGCAGCATCTGTACCCAAAATACCTAGAACACTTTAGTCTCTTCATTCCTGCCTTATGTATCTCCTTTATAATACCTTGCAATTCCTACTACATTTCCCCTTTTTGCATGCTAGAGACAATGCTTTCTTCCCCCTAATTTATTGTCTCTAAATGACCTCCTCATCCCATTCTATGCAAGTTTTTAATCTTCTCCTGGTACAATCTCCATGTCCTACTGTGTCGGCACATAATAAATTTTCTGGTTCTTTCTCATTTCCTTCCATTTATTTCTAGTCATTTCTTTTTCCATATTTTTGTTACATCCATCATAACTGTCAGTATTCCAATCCCTTTCACCCCTCCTTGACCCATCCCATGCATCTCCTGCTTCTCTCAAGCAGCCCTGGTAGGGATCTCTCATCCTTCTCAAAGCTAAGCTGTAGTCAGACAGGGCTACAGCAACATGAGGAGCCTCTTGATCTGCAACGTGCTTAAATAACTCTGAAGTGCAGAGTGGCAAAAAGCCAAAAACATAAACTGAATTTGACAAACTGTTTGCAGATCTGTATCAGGGAGAACAATACAAGGACATTGGAGTGACTATGGAGGAAAAAAAAAGTTAGGTTTAACTAGGCTTCTCAGCTCAGGCTCAGAGACGGAATTGGCAAAGCCGGGCCTGGCATAAGAGACCAAGCAGAAACCTTTGCATGGTGAAACAGGAGCAGCTGAGGTACAGAGCACAGGCCAAGCCTTCATTTGGAAACTTGGCAGAAGAAAGTTGACTATCATTGCAGTTTAAAAAACAACAAAAAAAAGTTAAAATATTGGCTAACAGACATAGCCTCAGATGGGCTGCTTGTTGCAGGTTTTCTTTTACTAAGACTTTTGCCAGCCTTCCAGTTTTACCAGAAATAATCTTGAGCGTAACAATGCCTAAAATATTCCCGGGTAATAATATGCTGCTTCTCACATTTCAACAGTGCAAGTACTAAGTCCTATGTAATTGCTCCACCTTATGGAGATTGTGAAGAGATTTGGATTTTACCTGAAAGTCATGCAAGATATAAGACAGCCAGAAAGAACACTTTAATAAACAAGATTTTTGAGTAACTACTAGAAGAAAAATGAATTTTCTTGTGTTTTAAAGATTCAGATAGGTGCAACATTATAGCCAAAGAAGAGGATAACAATTTTTAATACTGAAAAGAACACAATTTACCTGTGCTCCTATTGCACTTGTTAGCTTGAAGATATACAAAACTATATCCAAAAAGGGCTGCAACAAATGATAAGAAAAACTGCATTAGAACACACCAATAACATCAATATAATAATGTTCCCTCCCCTATCCCCCCAAAAGTCACACTCTGCATTAAAAGCACAATATTGCAGTTAATCTACTATGCAAATCAACAGCTAGATAAAAAGACGTCTCAGTCACGGGACGTCTTCCTGGCCACATTCATGTAAAAAGTGAACATAATAGCACCATGCTCTTCAAACAAAATGCTAGCTCTAAACAAATAAACAAACAAACAAGAACACAGCACTTCAGTAACTACAGCTGGACTAAACCATTTTAATTGAAGTAACTGTGAGAAGTGGAAACAGAGGAGAGGTATAATGACATATTTGTCTATGTGCCTGAGCAAAGCAAAGTTCCAAATTTGAGCAATCCTGTTCAGTACATTCTCTCTCCTCTCAAAACAATAGCAACTAAACAATACCAACTGATTTGGTAGCCTTTACATTTATGAACAACATGGCCTAATTTTTTTTTTTTACATTAACTGAAAAAGAAAAAACACGCACACCAACTGAAACAGACTTAAAGTCATATTCCTACCCAAAATTATAGTCATATATAGTTGAAAAGCAGTATTTTGTTCTGAAAACCAAATAATTAGCTTAGCAAGTGTACTCAGTGTTCAATTGTCTCAACTGCTGAAGAATTTAGCTTTAAAAAAATATAAATTAAAAAGCATGGCAAAACACAACAACATTTTATAAAGGTAAAGTGAGACTAAAGAGACTAAAACAATAGTAAAATCTCACTCAATTCCTTTTGGCACTGCACACCTAGCAAGGTCAACACACACTTAGTAAGATTCCATTATAAACAATGTATTGTTTAAAAACTATCTAATACTATTATTTTGAGCCTTGACATAACATTCTAAACTTGCACAGCTATTATGCAAAGTTTTCTTATAAAAGACTCACCTTGCTAAGGTTTGAGTATAGGTCCACTACACTGTTACAGAATTTTTCTACATCCTGGGTAAGCAGCTGATCTGGATTAGCTATTCTATTGTCTAGATTTCCCATTTTGTAGTATGTATAACCTCTGAAACACAAAACAGAGCGACAAAAATCGATTACTTGGGACATCAACCAACTGGACAACCCCTGCATCATACTAGTATAGGGGAACACAGTGCAGACATTAGGAGCCAAAATATGGAGCCAGCATAGTTGGCATGTTTGCCTGACCAGTTTCCAATAAAATCTTGGAGAAACATTAGGCATCAGAAAATTAACACTTGTTGCAGCACCTGTGCGTAGAGCAGTCTGGGAGCGAGCTTCATCTGAGTTAGCAAACCCTCGTGAAACCCTACACCAGTACACACGACAATCCAAATTCAGTGTACAAAGACATAGGCAGCCACTCAGGTTCTTGCACCCAGTGCAGTCTGCAAGTTTATTAGCACAATCCCTTTACTGTGTACACACATGTAAAGTACATGGTGAACTGACCAGTAATTAAAGCAGTAGTGCATTCATATGCAGTGAAGCTTTCACATTTGCAGAATCTAAGAGTTTGTTTTTTTCCCCTAATGGAGCTACTTTTGCTGTCTTAATATCTGTGCCAGAGACAACGTACAACAGGGATAAAATCACTCACACTTAACTGAAATCTGACTGCAACTAAAAGACATTTTTAACCCAGTATGCCTAGTGAGCAGTTCACTACTTTCTTACTACAAATGTGAAATTATTTGTTTGAGTTTTAAAACCAAAGAACTTAATTTTTTAAAGCCATTAGACATTTAGCAAGTTGTTACTTACTTAAGGTATTCCTCATAGAGGTATCTTGTGAGTCTTACTCGAAAACAAAGTTTCAGTTCATTTAATCCATACTTCAGAAAATTATTCACTAAAGAGATCTAAAAACAAATAGCAACATAATTAAGACAGAAATTTAATCAACAATAATGAACATATTCAGATCAGTTTGCATAGACCACAAAAGCTCTTAAAACATGTGAATTTCCTCCCTGTAGTAATACAGTTAACACAATTAAGACCAACCATACCTAAGTGTCCACAGGGCTATGAATTAGGCCCCAGTTTACATTTCTAAGAACCCCCCAAACTCAGTGCATCTTTATCACATCCAAAGATAAAGTGTTAAACAGTATTTAAATAACACGTCTTCATACATCCTCATAAAGTCTAGAAAATAACCAGTATAAATAATAAGTATTTGACAAACACTACTTAAAACTGATTCATTTTCAAGTATACTTCAAAACAGTTATATCTGCTAATATATAGCAGTAATTTATTACTATCAGGTGTGTGGGAGGGTTGAGAACTTGACAGGTTGAAAGAAAGTTGAAGAGCGAACAAGAGTTCGAAAAAGCACTAAGCAGTTTAGAAAATTAAAGATTTGAAAGTAAAGATTTTCTTTATAAGGTGATAATTTCAGAACTAGAATATTTAAACAAACCTGAAAACCTAAGTATCAGCAAGTTCTTCTAATAGGGAGACTTGTGCTGATACAGCCTTGCACACACCAAAATTAAAAATTAAAATCTTAACCCAGACCTGCATGTGGAACAACAGACTTTGTAGATTTTGAGGCCCTCATTTGAGATCTTTTCTCAGTTTCTTACATTTTACATATTTTCTATTAGAAACATGGCAACAAAAAAGCACTTACAGCAGGCATGGCAGCAATGAAGTTGAACAAGTATTTCTTGAAATCTTTTCTGCTGCGACCAATGATGGCACTGCAAAAGACCACAAGCTAAGTGTTAGCTGCAACAGAAACTGCAAACTAGCACTTCCCAAGTGCAAGCAAACAAGTAGGCTCTGCGGTGGATCACAGAAAGTAAGTCATAAAGGAAATCTAGGGTCCGCAGTGGGACCAAGTCTTATATACTTCTGTAAGTTAAGTGGTAAGTAGCACACTGGAAGCTTTTATCTCCCTGCTTCCCTGGAAACTACTTGTGTTTAGTGTTCATAAATACAGGGCCACACAATAGCTCCTTTGCTTTCAGGCTTTCACAGATGCTGGTCAGTCTGGGCTGCTGCAGTGGCACTCGCCCCTTGCAAGCTGCACTAATCTAGAGAATTGAAAGAAAAGTATGTCAAAATAAACCAAAAATGCAAAATTAGACCAAAAAACTCAAAAATGAATCAAAGAAGGAAGAGAGAAAATAAGCAGTAAGACACAAAACAGAAGAAAGTGTTCTTTCTGATGATTCCCTCCTTCCATGATTCCTACATCATGGTTACTTGTCAAATTCCTAGGAGAAGGGCAAGGTCCAAACACAGGGTTTAAGAAAACCATAACAAACCAAACCACAAGTCAGACTGGAGCAAGAATAAAAAGCAAGGAAGGATTTTTTAGTATTATGTACAAAGTAACTCCACTTAAATAGAAATTCTGTCCATTTTTTAATAATTCTTTAAACAGGAGTTACAAAACATCATTTACACCTGAGGAAAAAGTCTAACTTCAGATATTTAAAGAAAGAAAAGAACAAAAAAGAACTGGTATAGAAAGGTAACCTCAATTTAAAAGATACAAAAAAAATCTCATTTTCTCCCCCCAAAAAATCGATAAACTTTCTTCTCCTATACAAAGTGCTAACTACCGCAAGAAATCTTCTGTCTTCCTAACACTACAGAATTGGAGGTACTAATTAAGGTTTAAGCTGGACCAAGGTAATAAGTTGCTGCTATTGGCTGACCAGTTGTTTAGAAGGAATAGAAAGTCTTCTATCTGAATAAAGAAAATGATTACAAGATATTTTTCACACTTAAAATCAAAAATAGTTCTGAATTTAGGTTTTTTTACCAAGCATTAAAAAGAAAAAAAATGATGGAGAGGGGCAAGAAAGAAAAGATCAACAGTGCACAGTTTCTAAAGTAAACAGGAGAAACACATACCAGAAGATTCTTTTCCTCAAATTTGTTAGATTTTTTCTAGATTTGTTTAAGGTTTAGATCAACTTATAGATAACTGTGAGACCCAGAGAAGTTGCCTCAGTGCTGCATCAGCTACAGAACATCAACAAAGCACAGAACCGCAGATGCTTTCATCTTCAACAACTGATAACCATTACAACAGCAGCTATAAATTTTAAAGGAATATTTAGGATAGCGCCACTTGCAATAACACTATGAAAAAGGGTATGTATAATTAACAGCATTACACACTTCTGATTATGACTTTTAAAGTACTATACACAGACCAAAAGCCTCAAAATGCATGGCACTGGGCAAGTGTAACAGAATAGTGACCATTCACTGCAGAAGCTCTACGGTATTATGAAGTGCTCTCTTAAAAAAAATAAATAAATAAAATGAAATTCTATACAAGAGGAAAAACTCTTTCTAAAAATATAGAGTTGTCCCCTGTGAAGTTATAGGTGTGTACCTAGTATAGGTGTGTAAACCTATGAAGTTATAACTGTATCTGTGTTACAATTAGTTTTATATAAACAAGAAAGCTATAAAATGTATAATTCCATGTTCTAATATAGACTACTTTCTCTGTTAAATGCAGGAAATAATGTTTAAAGTAAACAGGTTTATATCTACCTTTCAATAACTGTTCCGTTTTGAATCATCCAAATATCGCAGTATGTGCGGACTACCAGCATGACAGCAATGAGCAGCAAATAACCTGTCTAGTTCAAACACAAGTGCAACAGTTACACAACAAATAAAATTCATATTTATTTTCTAGCAGACTCTAATTCTACCTTATAAAAACAAAAACAAAACAAATCATACCCCACCACGCACATCTCTAGGTCCCTCGCACCCAGCTAATGAAAAATCAGCCTACTTTGAAGAAAATACATTAACAGATAATATCTTCAATAAATAAAATACATTATTTATTAGCACATATTTACTCAAATTTTTACACATTTTTACTACATTTGGTTGATATGTATGCCCAGTTGTAAATGATTCTATCCTTCTACCAGATCTTACTACATGGAGAGAAATGCAGAGGTAACAGAAGTATCAAACCATTGCTATCAAGAAACATCATTCTGCCTTAACGATAACATCATATGGGGTGGAAGCGAGCTCTTAAGGTTCTCTACTCCAGTTCCCCATTCTAAACTGGCAACTTGGAGGAGACCACTAACAGCTTGCCAAGCGATACTCTGGAGGTCTCAAAGCACAAAGATTTTGCAACTGCTCTAGGTAACCTGTTCCAGTGGTTTGATTACCTTCACGGTGAGGACTTTTCTTGCACCAAATTAGAATTGCCTGAGTCTCAGCTTGCATCCATTGCCTCTCATCCTTCCATAGACTATCTCTGAGAAGTCTCCAACTTCTCCACACCTTGCCATTATATAGACAGCACTATTATCTCTCCTCAGCCCTCTCTTCTCCAAGTTGAACAAACTTGCCCCTCCTAGCACCTCCTAATGTTATATGCACCAGCTTTCTAATTATCTTGATGATCTAATCATTAGCAAGTCCTAGTCCTCCTTGCACTGGGGATCCCAAGACAGGGCACAATATTCCACATGCCATCTCACAAGTGCTGAAAAGAGGGGAACATCACTTCCCTAAAACAGCAGGGTGCCCAGCTGGACGTTTTATCATTGATCAAAAACCTTTAAGCCCAGCATCCAGCCAATTTTCCACCCATCTCACTGTGCACCTACCTAGCCAATCCACATCAGCTATCAGGACTCTGTGGGGGAGACATCTTTGACTTTCTAAAGTCAAAATATTCAACATCCTCTGCTTCCCCTTACCCACAGAGCTGCTCAACTCTTCAAAGAAAGCAATCAAGTTAATCAGATGCAATGTGCCCTTTATAAACTCATGCTAGCTGCTCGCAATCACCTTCTTGCCCTTCATGTGGTTAGAGATGGCTTCCAACAGGTTTTGCTCACAATCTTCCTAGGAATGAGGTAAGACCAACCAAGCCTGTAGTTTCTACTATGCTCCTTCTCGAAGATGAGCGTGATGTTTGCTTTTCTCTTGCCATGGCTAATCTCTTTCAATTGCCAGGACCTTTCTAAGATGACAGAGGCAAACAACTACTTCAGCTCTCAGCAATGCTTACTGTCTGCTTACTGGGGCTCACACAACTGGCATAAGGACTCCCCAGCTGCAGCCTTCTCCATTCTGGCAATGCTGTGGTCCTCATAGGTCCCCGAGTCTCCTAGTATAGCCCCTAGTATATCTTAAAGGGCCAAAAGGCAGTCCTTGCTGAACAAAAGGCTTGCCTTTTCCTATAGTTGTTAATGAACTTAGAGAAGTGTTTTTTGTGGCCTTCACATCTTTGACTTGATCAACTTCCAGCTGAGTTCTGGCTTTCTAGACTTTATTCTTGAAACACAGGCAAAAATTCCTATGTTTCCCCTCAGGTGCCTGTCCTACCTCCACCTCTTGTGTACTTCTCACTCAGAAGGCCTCTGTTTATCCATCCTGGTTTTTTGCTTCTTGACATTCCACATGCTGGAGTTCACTGTTTGATGTTTTATTCCAATATATTTTAATTCAGCACTTAAGTACTGAGCTTTAGTAACACTTAAAGATAAACACACACACACACACACACACAGAGCGTTCTGCAAACCATGACTAGGATGCTGATATGGGCATCTTTACCTTGCTCTTGCTAAGTATCATACTGCATAGCTTTCCTGGCATTATACTAATATTTATCTCTAGGCAATCCCTTCCTAGAACGTCCATTTGCCAAAAAAAGCGAAGGAACAGCATGCTTTTTCAAAATAGAAAGTATCTAACTAGAGAAGTGGTTTATCTTGCATCAAATTGAGCAAGTAAGTAACACTCAGAGGCCCTTTCAGAAGATATGCTAAAGACAGCAGTTACTAGTTAACAGCCAATGTCAGCTTATGTGTCAATGTCAGCTTATGTCACATCAGTTACAGCTTATCCAAGCTTACATGTGCTCTAGGTGTTCCTGCTAGAGCAGGGGGGTTGGACTAGATTATCTCTAGAGGTCCCTTCCAACCTTAACCATTCTGTGATCCTGTGATTACCCAGGCTACAATTTTAAGTGATGTAACTGTTCAACATACCTGTAGATTTTTACCTAAATGCATTATAGTGACACCTAAAAAGTGTAGCACAATTTTGTCCTATTGAAGTACATATTTTCATTTAAATTATGATAGTTTATAAGAACAACACCAAAAGCACTCACTTATTTGTTACTGCAGATAATGCTTACCTCTTTGCAAAATGTTCTTGGGACCATTATTTTCAGGATTCTACATATTCTTGCAATGAACACTCTGTCCACCATCGCTCGCTCCTTCTTTCCCTCTTTCTGCATTAGAAAGAAGCAGCAAAACAGGAAGAGTGAGATTCTTCTGTATTGTATTAAGTTGTTTACATGTTGTGGTGTTATTTTTCCTTAATCCAGGTTCCTTGCAACTACCTTTTTTTCTGCAGTGCACTTGCAACATTTCCTCCTAGTTTAAGACTTATGTAGACAGGTCAAACCAAATGCAAGAATCAGGAGTGGGTGCCCTCACAGCTAACAGGAATTGTAAAGAAAATTGAGTTACTGCAAAAAAAAATGCAGTAGTAAATAACTATCACAGCTATTTCAATTTTGTGTTAAAGTCAATGAAATACAAATACAGACCACAGCATTAAAATGTCCAATTATAATGTAATATTAACAAAAGCATCACTGCCTAGTAACGGGTATCAAGTCTGCCCTCTCTGAAGGTTGTCTCTGGAAGACATTGCCATGCAGTATTTTAAAACACAGATTTTATTCTCTGTCTAGACTAGCGGGGGTCTGAACTCCTCGGCCATACAGACCAAGCCTGATCCCTGTGAAACCACTGCTGGTTACTGCTGTTTGTCTTAAGAGAATAAGCAATCCTGGAGAATTACATCTACCTGATGACAAATATACCCCCTTGTACAAAACCATATGACTATTTTAAAATTCTTTACCCTATATAGTCCTATATCCTGTACTGATTAAATGGAACACTTCTAAAATAAGCTCATGTTCCAGTTGCTTAGAAAAGATGCGTTTTCTTTCTTTTCCTCTACAGTTTTGATAGGAGAATTCAATCCCAAAACTAGACTAACAGAACAGACACGTGAACGTAAATACCCTCTTACCAACATAACTCTGCTATCTTTTATACTGAAGATTCATGTGAAACATTTGCACACTGTATGATTTGTGTTCATTATGCTTATAGCAATATTATAGACTTCAGAATTTTACAGACAGACTTAGAAACATAAGATTGAAGAGAAAGACAGAAAGTAGCCAGTGATTCAATATTATCTAGTTGAAACAAAATTAACAAGCAGTCCCCTGCTACCTCCCTCTTTTCGTTTTATTTCCAGGGATGATTAAATCACAGAAACTTGTGCAGAGAATGCAACAGCACCCCCCCACTTCACTGCTTGTGTCTGCAACATGATAGGCAGCAAGTCCAAATCGAGTCCCTGCAGTTTATTCCAAATGCTCTAGGAGTAAGTCCATGGGAAGAAACCAACAGTAATATATTTCCTTTCAGATAAAGGTGTTAATAGAAACTAGAGTGATAGGATGTTATATGCAAGTGCAAAAATATTCTGCTAAGAATAACTTCTATAGAGAAATCCAAGCAAGCCAAAAATTAATTCCAACATCTTCTTTCTCTCAATTTCTTCATTTAAATTTATAATCCATCATTCAGTGCAATTACAAGGAATTGTAAAAGTATGGGAAAATTAGTTATTATCATTATTTTTTTACAATTCAGTATAGGTGTGCAGAACACAGTGTTTACAGTGTATAATATCATAAAGTATATGCAACATCGTAAAGGTCTAGCTGGAATAATATGGTGTTTGGCAATAATATTCTATTTACTCAGTTCAAGGCTTTAAGTTTCCAACTATACTAGAATTATCTGAAATAGTTCTTTATTCATAATACCGTAAGACCCAATACTTCTATTCACAGGCTCTGCCCTTCAGGTTTAACTGCTATATTTTATTTGAACATGAAACAAAAAATTGGCTTAAAGGGATACATTCTGTTGAAACCAAAACAAAAAGCAAAGAAACAAACCAAAAAAAATTAGGAAAATATCAAGTCCAGTAGAGGCTTGAGCTGCTTAAAAATTCTCAGACTAAATTTATTCCAAATTTTTTTAGTGATTAACAAGTGCAAATGACATCAAATCTACAAGTAACTATTGGCTGCAATGCATACAACTATAATAAAGAACAAATGAAAGGCAATCAATCACCATTACCATTATGCAGGCACATTTTAACCATACACAATTAACCATTTTCCATTTGTTTCACCAATGCAGATTTGAAACATCTTTCAGATCAGGTTTGCGTCAAACACTTAATTACATCCCCAGTACAACTTCAGTCATGGTACTGAAGGCAAACGAAATTATGAGTATATTTTAAAATACGTTCGGAAGAAAAAAATTACCTCATTGCTCTGCAATGCTTGTTTTCCACTTCTCTTACTGTAGAAGAAAAACAAATATTTTTTATTAGCAAGCTTTCTTTTCTTGATTTGTGTTTCTATAGAGGAGGCAAACAGCAAAGCTGGGGATTACACCCCTCCCCAGTCCAGCACGGAGCCTTTGCAGCAGCTACCTTCTCTGTCAAAGTTATGTACTGCTGTTTCACTGTTCTAACAAAACCTCCTTCACTGACCCACTTGTTTTCATCTAAGGCAACAAATTGCTCTCTCCTCTTTGAAGTTTGTTATACTTCATCTTCTGCAGCATGAGCTTGTAGTGTCCTGGGATTTCTAATACACACTTTATAAGAATAGCTACATGGTTCTAGGGAGTGAAAACTACATGACTGCAGATTCAGCAATCCAGACAATACAGGTTTGGAGTTTCATATTATATACATAAACCACATAGATTTGTTTTGCATGATATTTGACTTTTAAATAACACATTTTACTATATATTTGATCACAAGCTTGCTATAGGAAAAAAAAAAAAAGGCTTATAAATCATGTTTCTGTGACAAGGCGCAATGGATAGAGATTTTCTTCTTTTTCTTCCCTGGAATTTTTCAGAACAGTTAGAGAAAACAGCAATTCTCAGTTACTGCTAAATAGAGTTCAGAAATACAAAGCTATCTCTTGCTCCTGCTTTTAAAATGGGCAAGCTGGTATATTTGATAGTTTCAGTTTGTCTTTTTCCTTTCTGTACACGCAAGCCTTAAATAAGCACATGAAGCAGTTGGAGAATTTATGCATGCATGAAGCTTAAATGTGACAGCTCTACAAATTAAATTGTAACCAACCATTTTTCAAACAGCATACTAGAATATGTAGAGGAGGCTGGCCTTGAAACTACAATGCTCATAGAGTTACAAGACAGTACAAGGGGAAATTCACAGGCAAGAGAACAGAGCAAGGCATTGTGCCCCTGGCCGGTGCCACCAGGCCTGCAGCGGGCACTGCCATGGGAGCAGCCAGCCTGCAGCTCCAACTGCAGGGCTGCTCTAAGGCTCGTGCTTCCAGACTCCGCTCTGAAATGAAAGTATGTAGGATAACATCGCATCTATTTTAATTTTTTGATCATTAGAAAGATCTATTGATGACTTAGCCAAAGAAGAGAAGCAACTTAATCACAAGGCAGAAAGAGGCAGGGCAGCAGAAGAATGTGAGAAAAGCAGCGAAGGAGGAGACCAGAAAAATGAGAAGGGAAGAGATTCTCGTTTAACAACAACTTAATTAAAAGGTAATGGTGAGACAGAGGCCTGAGAAGACAGAAGTCTCGTAAGACTCCTTGTGCGAAAAGGAGAACAAAGAACAGGACAGGCAGCAGAAGGCCTAACATGGGAGAAAGCAGCTCAATAAAGGTTCCAAAGACGTGAAACGCCACCTAACCAGGTGTCATGAAGCTGTGTCTGTGGGAACAGCAACAGGATGCTAAGTTTAAGAAATAATTTAGAAATGAAACCCTGACAATGCATGGAAACAGGGGGCTGAGGGAGTTTTTTGTTGGTACAAGAAACCACTTCTCTGCTTCTCCTCAACACACCTCATGATTTTTCAAAGTACAAAAGATTTTTTTTTCTTTTAAAGTAACTCAAAATCCAATCACCAACTGGACATCAGTAGAATCACGTCTTACTTGGAAGGAGAAAAGCAGCATTATTAGGAAAGAATAAATCACAATGTCAGTAAGTCAATAATGCAAAACTAAAGTATGCTACTTCTCCATATCTGTTGTAATAATTCCTAGCTTTGATGCCTCAAGGCTTGTCAGTGTTTGGAAGTCACAGAAATGAATACAGAAATTAATACATTAAATAGTAGTATTTTAAGAATAAGAGGCCCAGAATTGTTTGGCTGCTGAACACTTCCGATGTTTATGGAGACCTCCTTTTTCCTACAGTAGCTGTATAAATAAATGCAGTAGCAGAAACTGCTGAGTTCAGCTGATACTGATTATCCAGTACAGAAAAGGAATTCAGAAATCCCAATCTCACATTTGCAAACAATTAATATCCGTAATATTTACTACATATTATCTGTAAATTCGAAACCTACACAAAAGTCTCAAATGTTTCTTTTTCTTTCTAAAAGAGAAAACAAAGTGAACACAAAATATAATACTAAAGCAAGAAAGGATAAAACCTTATCTATAAACCACAGATTAAACAGGTGAAGAAAATGTAGCTACATAGCTCAAGAAATTACTGTCAATATTAATGCACTGCTGTTGCAGCAGGTAAAACTACTTTTCTTACAACTGTGACAAAGTTCTGCCTGGAATAAACTTCTGTGGGCCGATTCCTGCAGTGCTTTTCCTTCATAGAGAGTCTTATTTCTGCAGGGCAGTACCTTCTGGCACTACCCCAGACTCCATTACACCACTGCACAACTTCGTGAGCACTGTGGTTGCATTTTCAATGAATTTAAAGACTAAATGACACCCTCAATTAGTCAGCAAGAGTACAACAAGACTATCTGATTACAGCAGAGTTCCAGTGTTTGGAATATATTCAGCTCTCTGTGGTGAGGCCCCTCATTACAGGATGGATGCTGGAGCATCACGCACCTTGTTACTCAAGGAGGGCAGGTGCTACTTGCCACCCAAATTCTCTAGTGCAAACAGTCCAGGCGCATGAACCATCTTTGAGAAACCAAGGCCAAGGACTGCTTGACAGAGAAACACAAGGCTGCTTTTTACAGCAATGTTAACTTGACACATTTGCCTGGCTACACACAGTGCTCTCCAGTTGGAACTTAGTAATAATTTTAATAGACTACCATAAGCCTCAGAACTCAAGTGCTAAATAGCATGTGGTATCATTACAGATGCAATACAGTAGTGCAGTTACAATACATAGCACTGCTCATCCAATACTACAGGAATATTACAAAGTCTTGAGTTGTTTCTCCCACCCTTCCCTTCCCTGTTTTGGGGGGCAGCTTCTTTCTTCCAGACCTGGGGTATTAGATTTGGTCACAGACCAAGAGAACACAGGACCATTTCATAGTTCTGAAACATTTTTTCACAATAAAACAAGTCTTATTGTCAATTCTAAGAACTTTCAGGAAACTATTTGCTCTAAAGAGATATGCAGAATGGTGGTTCCTCCAAAACGATCTTCAACACTACTAAAATAAGTTATTTAGAAAGCAGAGGGGAAAGGCTTCAAGACACCATTAAGGTGAGGCTAGTTACAGAGAGCTCTCAGGAATATCAGTTCTGTGGAATTTACTCGCAAATAAGTAAAGCTTTACCATTTCTAAAAAAATATCAGTCTCCTTCCAAAACTAAGTTTACAGAGACTCAATGGAATTGATCTACACTGGGTTAACCTAAACAACTAGAACTGCAGAGACAAGCAAGTCTTCCAGGGTAACAATGGGCAAAGAGGAAAGAAGAGTTTCAAAAGCATCTTGTGCTTAACTACAAGGGAGCTACAAAGTTCAGGATGCGCCACCTTCCTTCTGTAGAGCAGGACGACCAGCTTCTGCTAAGCCCAGTGCAAAGAAGTTGCTGCTCCAAGGATAACTACTGATAGTTTATGCAACTTTGCCTTTCCAAGTCCTTAGGAACTTGCACCTTGCAAACCTTGTCTATTGCTCAGCTGCCATTTTCACTGGATCTTTTTCCCCTCGCTCCCTTTATTTTTTAATGCACAAGACAAATAATTTCATAACAGTTCATGATTTTGCAGCTTTCAGGTCAGTTTTGCATTCAAGACATCAGTGCAACAAAACAAAGACAGAAAACAATTGCAATGTTTGTAAAGACTGAATGCAATAGCACCGTTACAGTGCAAAATAGTAACAGTTATGCAGAGAAACATATAGTGTGTAACTCAACAATCATTAGAAACAGACTCAAAGTGACCAGTGACAAGCAAGTGCATAGGCTGTGTCACCTAATACAACTAGTGTAAAGCTCCATTTCATGTACATAACCTTCTTCCTCCCACAGGCACAGAGAGCTACAGTAGTTATTTCAGGTCAAGGACAACAACCTTGCTGCACAGTCCATGCCTGTCCGAGCAGCACGCTGGGAGCACATGCAGAAACCCAAGGACTTCTTCACCCTGGATTGGTGGCTAGTTGCAGCATAAATAAAACTAGTGAGAAGAAATGCATTCAGGCAACTAAGTAGGGGACTGAGAAGGTCGGATGCTGCTGCAAGACGGGGCTCAGATCTCTGCTGCATTGCTAAAGTTTAAAAAGTTTGTGAATGTATTTGAGAAGGCAGCAAAGCTGAGGTATAATACACAACTAAGTTCAGGAGAAGCTGCCATCACAACAATGGAATAATATACAATAAAAGTATGTTAGAGTTTTTGATTTTTAATAAGCTTTCACTCTGCTCTGAGCTACAGTTGTAGCTCTCCCTCACAGATAACACTGGAGGGTGGAGAAAGGGAATCTCATTGCCTACTTTCCCCAAATTAAAAAAAAATCTTACTCTAGATCTTGGCTTACAGAGCAACTATTTTATGCAATTTAGGAAAAGACAAACCACTAATTAACTATCCAGACCCAAAACAAAGGCAGTCTGAATGCTAAGAGCAGGGATGAGTCATCTGGTTTCTTCTCTTTCTATATCCCCCAGCTGAAGACAGGTTTTCTGAGCCCCAGGCAGGTTTTCCCTCAGACATAGGTTTTAGCTGCATTTTCTAGGAATCCTATTTATATATTTTTTTGACATTACTGTGCGAAGCAAGGAGTGGTCAGAACAGTCACTTTCACATTCTGCATAAATCTAACATCACCACTGTGAGGAGATGTAAGGCTTTTTTCACCTTTACTCAAAGGAGTGGTTTCTTTCAAAGCTGTTGTATACATGTAAGCAGCCTATTAATGCCCCTCAACATCCTTTCACACTCCCTGTCAAACAGTCACGCAAGATTCCAAAGCAGAACAGGCTCCCTCATGCAAGTTTCACAACAAGACTCTGACACAAACATCTTCTGAACCTGAAGTAGAAACAAACTAAGGAAATAGAATA